TGAAGCAACACTAGCCACCGTGCAGTAGAAAACAATCACCTGGCAATAGAAATAATCTTCTCATACCTTGTTCATGATTTGGACACGATGATATATATTGCAAGTAGTATCAACAACCATCTCTGTTGGTTGGCCGACCCAGTGTTGGTGGTCAGGCCAGCCCAACCTAAGAACTTTGGTTCCTTGCCACCAGCAGCTCTTTCCCCTCCTTGCCACCAGCAGATCTCTCCCCTCCTTGCCACGAACATCTGTCTCCCCTCATTGCCACCAACAGCTCTCTCCGCTCCAACATGCTGTCAGGATCCTTGCCCTCCTCAATAAAAGGGCTCTCAGCACTTTCAGAATTGTAAGGGGTCAAATGGTTTGCTAGAAATGCGGTTGCTCCCGACTCTTCTGGTCAACCTTACTATTACTTTGACCTCTGATTGAGCCCTGATTGTGACTGTTAAGAGGTACGACCAAAAGTAGGAAGTATGGTGTTGTCATTCTGCTGCACTGAGCAAGGTGCACTACAGTGGAAGGTGCATAAGATTGGAAGGCGTATGAGAGTGGACGGGCTGCTGTGCTACGGCTGCTGTGGCTGCTGTTGTTGAAGACAAAATCTGCCTGGCTCGTGGCTTGTGAAGAGTCAGAAAGGCTTGTGATGAGCCGGCCAGTAGGCCCACCAGCCTCTTATCCCCGTGGGTGACACTCGTAATTGTGAGAATCGGACGCGTAACAAAGAACCGATGATTATGTTAGGAATGAGGGAGGTATTCAAAGTTGAGAGAGCGAAGGAGGGATGGGGGTAGAAGTGCTGTTGCGAGGCGACGGGCTGCAACTCGAAGGTGACACTGCAGGGCGACGGGCGGCGGCCCGACGAGAAGATGCAGGGCGACGGGCGGCGGCCCGACAAGAAGCTGCGGGGCGACGGGCGACGGCCCGACGAGAAGCTGCGTTGAAGCAAAGATGTCTGTTGAAAAAGTGCGATTGGTTATAGCGCTGACGATGCGCTTACCAGAGAAGTTGTAGAAGTCGTCGAGAATGAAGGGAAAGTGGCGCGGGAGAATTTCCGGCCACGGATGTCGCGAATCACCGTCGACGGGATTGAAGGCGGCTACGCCGAGGTTTGCGGGATGAAGATCCGCAGAGATAAGAGGATCACGATCCGCGTGTACGGTTGAATGGCTCCGATACCATGTCACAACTTAAGCTTAGAACTGATGCTAGTAATGAGCTTGAAGCTCTTTAAGTACATCCAAGATGGGCAAGCAATGGATGGGTAGGGGAATCGAGGGCAACCTCTAAGGATTGGGGGTAATCCCAAGACAATCTCCAATTGGTGGGTTGGAGATTGCTTGGAAATTACATTTGGGTTTGGTTGGGATGTAGGTGTACACTTAACCAAACACAAAATGCAAACTACACAACGCTAGGATATAGAATGTGCAAAATACTAAGTGTGAGATCGAGGGCTAACACTAGCACCAACATCCTTCACATTGCCAATCATGTTTACCTGTGCAGGATACTGAGCATGAACAACCTCATCGGGTCCATTCCATCTTCCATCAGCAGCCTTTCCAATCTGCAATGGCTGTGGGTGGTAACTTCTCCTTGTGTTGAGAGTGTGGAATGAGCAAGAATTGAACCTGTAGTAGTTGGGTTAAAAGCTAGTCGAACCAAGAACGATCTGAGAATCTTTCTCCACGTACAATTTCTTACCTTTTGGAATCTTTCTGAATTGACGAACTCCTTTAACCTGCCCGCTGCATGCTTCTCTGTCTATGAAACCTCTAGTGCGGTTTCCATGCATCGGTAATTTCACTACTGGTTGTAAACTGATCATCAGTGTTTTTGTGGTGCGTGTACTGGCGGATTGCTTCATTGCATGTCTGACTGTGGTGTACGCGGGCCGAGTCGAGTAATCCTCGACTCATTTTCAGCCTACTCATTTTGAAAACGTGTCGAGTCGAGTATTACTCGCCCGAGTAATTTTACCCCTAGTCCCGACTCGTTAATCGTGTAAAAAAACGAGTACCCGTTACTCAGACCGAGTACTGAAGTCATCGATTTAGAGAAAGAAATGCTCGACTCATTTTTGTCAATATTTGTACCCAGGCCGTGTGTTTGTGACACAAGCCCACCATTGCAGCAACCTCCACCACCTGCAACAACCCAACCAGCTCTAGTTCATGAGAAACCACGTACAACAAAGTTCACCACAACAGTGCAATATAGAAGTGGCCAACCAAATGCCCTTTTTTCTAAACCAGGATGGGAAAGGCTTTGGATGCCTGCCTGCCTGTGCATGCAGCAGTGCATGGCAAGACAGGACAGGGCGAGGCAGTGCAGGGTATGCAGGGCAGGGCAGGGCAGGGCAGGGCATGCAGGGCAGGGCAGGGCAGAGCAGGGCAGGGCAGTGTGGGGTAGGTCAGTGCATGTCAGGGCCAAGCAGGGCAAGGTAGGGCAGGGCCCTTTACAAAACATGGTAACGGAACCTGGTGATGCGCCCAGGTGAGCGTCCAAAGAATTTATCTAGTGCAATTTAGAAGTCTACACATGCAAAGTCTGCCATCGTTATGCATGTACCACATCACAACCCCTGCTGAATCGCCAACGTGACATCCTCCTCAAACGCAAGAGTGGTAGAGCGTGGCCCCAAGCATGCAAAGTCATGCATGCACGAACACACTCAGCCCCACGGCGATGACGCTGCCAGGTGACGAAATTCCTGCTTTGCGAAAAAAAAAAACCCTCTCATTCGTGGCAGACGTAGCTGGGATGGTCAGGTAGTCCCTGGGACACAAAACCGATCTGCAATGCCAGTACGCCAAGGGACACATCTTGAGGCTCTGCATTTGCTCCTCCAGGTAAATCGTGATCTCATCCTTCTCTTGCTCAGACTGGGTGCCATGGTATGATGTGATGACAACTGTGCAGCTAGGCCATCGTCCTCGTCCTCGCCCCCGCAATAGCACCGCCAGAACTGCCAGCCCCATCACCTCCTGCCCCCTCCTCGTGCCCCGCATCGCCCCCCCTCCATGTCAGCCCCGCCCCCCCCCTCCCCCCCTGTGCGCTCGCCCTTGCCTCAGCTTCAGCCCTGGGCAGATCAAAGTGACCAAGCTTGAATGGGGGATCAAGGAATCTCGCGACACTCAGCTCGTTGCTGCTTTGATGCACGCATAGTACTCCTGCAGCTTCGGCATTGCTGCCTTGCTGCACGCATTAATGAACTCTGAGGGAGAGGGGTGTCGTTCTGCAGTCTCTCCAGCTTGTCCATGAGGCTGTTGAACTACGGCACCACACAGTTGACCGTAGGGTAAAGAGACCCCTTAACCGCAAGTGTGAAGGTGTTGAAGGGACGGAGAAATGCCGCGAGCTCATCTAGTGCCTGCCACTGTTGCAGAATGATCCGGAGCGCGGCAACGTGCTCCTTCTCTGCAGGAGTGGTGGCCCCCTGCCATGGCAATTGTGTTGGTTGAGAGAGGGCTGCAAAATTTATCAAGTGGAGGGGAGTGTATGACGGTCACGGTGGAATACACGTTGCTGACCAGGAACACAGAGGAGCTCTTACCATCACGGATATCCCTAATAGCGTCTAATCTAGGCATCCAACACTCACCACACCATGGCGCTCGGATGATCATTGCGTGACTGGATCCCCAGCAAACCTCTTCGTACTGCTTCAGCTTGAGCACGGGCTTTTTGTGGCAAAGGGGTCTCTGCTCCTCTTCAAAAGCCGCAGCCCGCTTGGTCGATTAGCCAATGAAGGAAGCGAGCTCGATGAGAAACCTTCTCTGCGCTGCGCCATGGCAGCGACGACGGCGTTCTCCGTGGCGGTGTGCTGGGATCCACCAACACCCCGCAAACTTGCTGCGGAGTAATTCTATTACTGACGAGAAATACTCGACTCGACAAAATCGAGTAATTTCTCGGAAATAGCCGACTCGTTACTCGCCCAAACCGAGTAACGAAAACGAGAGTAGTGCGTTGTAAAAAAATACTCGTCCCTAGCCGACTCGTTACTCGTCGAAAAAAATACTCAACTCATCTCTACTGTAGTGCGTTGTATGCATGTATTTGTTGTGTTGGGTATGCTACCAGAGCAGTGTCCTTCATGCGTCCTGTCTCTGTAACTTGTATGTCCACGTGCACTGCACAGGTCCTTTCATGACAATCGTATGAGTGGGAGGATTCCGGACTCTCTTGGGGAACTCTCCCGACTACTCTACCTGTGAGCTTACGTGCGGCTGCAATTCTGGGAAAGAATGGTACTGTTTTCATTGTTTTCCTTGAGGCTAGCATGGCCCTAACACCATGTTTTTTGTAGTTGTAGTGTCAATTCTCAATCCATGGTATTTTTAGGAAGTCATGTCTTTGCAAAATGCATCTAGCATGCGAGCACCAGTGTGGCTTCTTGGTGATTTGTCTTATGGCATTGGCGTGAACCCCGTGTGCCGTGTACCGCTGGAGACACTTACATCACGCAGCAAGTCAATCTAGCAAGTCAATCTACCGAGCTAATCTAACAAGTGAATTTAGCGAGTGAATTTAGCAAGTGAATTTAGCGAGTGAATCTAGCAAGTGAATCTGGTAAGGGAATTAAGCTAATTCAGCACATAATAGAAGTAAACATAGCGAGTGATTTTAGGAAGTGAATCCAGCGAGTGAGTCTAGCAAGTAAATCTAGGGAGGGGAATTAGCAAGTGAATTCAGCACATGAATCTAAGCCAATATAGCGAGTGAATGTGAATCTAGTGAGTGAATCTAGCAAGTGAATTTAGCGAGTAAATCTAGCAAGTGAATCTAGTAAGGGAATTTAGTAAGTGAGTCAAGCTCGTGAATCTAGAAGTACATATAGCGAGTGAGTCTAGCAACTGAATCTAGTATGTGAATAAAGCAAGTGAATCCAGCACGTGAATGTAGTAAGTAAATATTGCAACTGAATCTAGCATGTCAATTTAGCATGTGAGTATTGCACCATTCTTCTTTATATCACCACCACGACTCTAGCCACGATGCATGTCTGCTCAGCCCTTCAATCTCCTCTCGCAATGAGTCGCCCTCCTCTAACATCTCCATGGCCGTACGACCGACACACTTCCTCACTCCTTTCCGCATGCTCTGGCATTCTCCCTCTTGCACGCACTCAACAAGTCGCACACCCATGCTCGCTGTTCTCTCAAATTTGTGCTGTGAGCGAGTCAACAGCAGCACCAGCTGTGCCATGCATGCTCTCTAGTCACAAAGAGCACGAAAACAGAAAAAAAAAAATAGCAGAGAGGTGGAAGTCTTCAAGTGAGGGTAATGAACACTGAACACTACCCAAATCTAAACGAATGAATGTGCGCCACTTGGAATCCAGGTGACTGATTGTGGGACGTGCTAACCAAGCATGCACTGTAGTTTTTTTGTGGAAACTGACTTCAGCATCACCACGTGATTGCTCGTGGTTGCCATGCTTGCGGCCTTAAAATATTCTCCACCTCGACATCCTTTGGGGTGCTTCCTCATCTCGCCTCTCTTCACATTACTTCCCTCATCTCAGCCCACCATTTCTTGTTATGCCTCTTCTTCCTGTTCATGCCAATGCATCAATTCGATTACATGGATTTCGCCTGCCTCCTCCTCATTTACCCCCTGTTACCCCTCTGTCCGTCATCTTCTCCTCCCTCATCCATACACATGCTACTCAACAACCCCTCATACCTTCACTCCCTGAAAACCACTTTTCCTCTGAGGTGATCCCCATGTGTTTTTCTCCCGGCACCTGCCCCTCCCCACTGCAGCGACCTCTCCCACAACTACCTCACAGGACCTGCAGTCACGCCTCTTGCTGCACGCACCCTGGATCTCTCCAGCAACTACCTCTCGGGCCCTCTGCCCGACGGGGCGTGCCAGCCTCTCTCTTTTGATGCCAACTGCTTCACGCTGCCGCTTGGCTGTGCCTTGGTACCGCAGCGGCAGGAGGCAGCATGCAATGCATTCTGTGGCGTCTCCTCTGCTGCTGGTGCTGCTGCTGCGTGTGGAGGGCATGGGGTGTGCTATCCAGAGGGAGCTAGCTTGGCGCCCACATGTCTGTGCGACGCGGGATTTGTGCAATTTGGAGAGATCAGCTGTGTTGCTCAAGGTAGGGGACATCACTTGAAATCGATGAAGCTTGACCACAGACGGATTCACAAAATGGTGGGATGTCCAACTCGCATGAACTCCTGTGGCTTGTAGACCGGAAATTTGTTCAACCGTCGTATTATTAGAGAGAGACTTCCATTCCATGTTTTCACTTGCAGTTTGTATGTCTAAGTACACTGTAGTTGTAGTTTTCGTGGTTGGGGTGTTACACCAATATCCCAACCCAGCCCAAATGTGATGTGATCAACCAAAATCTACAACCCCACCAATTGAAGATTTCAGCTGATCTTATTGGGGATTGCCCCAGATTCCCTGCCCATCTGTTCCAACCCATGTACTTAAGAACCTTGAGCTCCTTTATCTATTCAAACAATTGTCGCTCAGATTCTTGCACTTATCTCATTCCTGTCCGTCCCTCTGATATCTTTGTGCAGGCCAGAACAAGAATTACTCAAGCAGCCAGCCTGTTCTCCCGCCAGCATCTGTGCTCACCAAGGGGACGCAGCGGGAGACAGGGGGGAACTTCACGGCAGCGCCGGTGACGCTGTTTGTGTACGAGGCAGGGCAGACACGGTTGGGGTGTGGACTGGAGCTCGCCTTCCACGCCAACTTCACCTTCTCCTTCTCTCCTCGAACCGGCCGCGTGGGCTTCAACGGCTTTGCCTTTGTCGTCTCTGCGACAGACCGGGTGGGTGGGGAGTGGTGCAGGTGTGGGGTATGGTGGAATGGACACGCGGAGCATTGCAGTTGAGTTTGACACGCTGCAGAACAAGGAGCATGGCGACATGAGCAGCCAGCACGTGGGGCTGAACATTCGAGGCGAGGACAAGTCGCTAGCTGCTGTGAGGTCGCCCTTCCCTCTGAGCAACAGGAAGGCGTACACGGCGTGGGTGGACTATGAGCCGGGGGACCCCGGCACCATCCAGGTCTTCCTGGCTGACTCGCAGGAGAAGCCGCAGGAGGCACTGCTGGAGAGGAGGCTGGCGCTGTGTGAGGTGCTGCAGGGTGCAGCCGAGCAGCCCGCCTTCTTCTTTGGCTTCGTGTCGTCCACCACTGTGAAGCCGTTTCAGCGCCATGTCATTCTTGAATCGACAGTGGACACAGGTAAGCAGAGTGTGCTGTTAGAAGGATGAACTTGGCATGGTGGTTAACAACACCTAATGTCCGGTCTAGAAGATGTTAAAGAGGAGGCAACGCGACTGTGGGATGCTGATGTAAAGCATCGTGACGATGGGGGTAGTGCTAGTGCTCATGAGGGTACTCATGGACGGACTTATACATGCAATCTGAAAGTGACTGTAGATATGAATCACACACTTTCTGAATCTGACACGCCGTCTTTGTTCTTCGCTCTGATTGTTTTTTTTCTCCCAGGCCTTCCTGCTTCTCCCCGAACAGTCTCACGTAATCCAGGTGAGACATCGTCTCCCATGCTTCTGTTGCAACTCTTGCAACCACCTTTGTTAGAAGGACAAAAGAGGCAAGCGGTGTGACTGACTGACTGTTATGATCATTTGTATAATCTGTACGAATGTTTGACCTCATGTGTGCTTATCTTCCCACCTGTATGCTTCACTCTCCCTCTTACCATTTTTTTTTTAGTTTTTTTTTTTTGTTTCTTTGTAATAAATACATGCACTCAGCAGGTTAGGTGCAAGAATTAAGAATAACCTAGACAATGTGGCACATGGTGCACATCACAGTGCAAAGTGAACCTAAGCATACTGATCCTTAGAAAACTGATCCCAAACACACTGATCCCAAGCTGATCCCAAGCGAACACAAGCAAACTAAACCCAAACAAACCCATCCCAAGCAAACTAATCCCAAGCAAACTGATCCCGAGCAAACTGATCCCGAGCAAACTAATCCCGAGCAAACTGATCCCGAGCAAACTGATCCCAAGCAAACTAATCCCGAGCAAACTGATCCCGAGCAAACTGATCCCGAGCAAACTGATCTCGAGCAAACTAATCCCGAGCAAACTGATTCCAAAGTGGAAAAGGGAAATGCTGAGCAACTATGATCATGGTGTACCGATCTAGGTAAACTATTTTTTTACGAGCGGCCTGTACCGCACATGAGCGAGGTATTTATATAGTTGCTTCAGCACTGAACGGAGTGCTTGTTTGGTGAATGTGCAATACATGTGAAATGGCCCCATGAGGTGCAGATGTAATCAGATATGAGGTGCACCCCAGCAATCTAAGGGCAATGCACTGCAGCCCATTGTACTGATCATCCCCCTTCAAGTTCTCCCTTGTGACAACTTGTCTCTTTCACATCCCATTCGTTTCTCCAAAAATCAACTTCTGAGCACGTCACAGCCTATGGCCTGCAGCTATCAACGAACTCATACATGCCAGCATGGGCCAGCCCCTTCCCGCGCTACGTGAGTGCGGACTACCGAGTGGCGCCCAGCAAGCAGGACTCGTGGGTCATCAGCGACTTCCACTCCTGGGACGCCGTGCCCTTCCTTGGCTGGCGTGTAAAGGACCAGAAAGAGTGCAGTGAGTGAAACCACTGGGGAACCTGGAGAGGCATGCTGGAGCCAATCGCTTGGCTGGTGTATCTTGTTTGGCTACAGTCCGCATGTTTTCCGTTGCCGGTCACTTTCATCTTTAATATATCGCACAATACTCGCTCAATATGTGTTTCCATCGTGTTTCCGTCATCACATCACCTTTAATTATTCACGAAACTATTTCGTCATGCCCAGGTGCTTGTTGGGCTTTTGCGCTGGTGGCGAGCGTGGAAGCGGCATACGGCATTGCATTGAATGCAGAGGCGCCACAGCTGTCAGTGGAGTCACTCTTTGCAGCCATGGGGCTCACCTCCGAAGCTGACAAGTGCATCACGGGGGGCTCCCCCACAGAGGCATTTGAAAGGCTTCTCATGCTGCCTCGTGGAGGAGTCACAGAAGTTGGATCGCCTGTGAGTAGTGCGGCTAAATGGAAGGCAAGAAGGGATAGCTGGTGATATCTGAAAACTCAAAACTTCGTATGGGGGGCTGATATTAAGAGAGTTGCACGTATACTACAACTGGTGATATGAAGTGGAACTCTTTTCTGAGCTCAATAGTCGGTCGTTGCAGCCACTGTCAATGGCTGAAATAACATTTTGAAATACAGATGAACTAGGCCAGTCTCAAATTTTGCATGCAATTTTAGCAGTCAAGCTTAAGTGTTCATCACGGCCTCTTTGTGTCTTATGTCTCTTCTTTACTGAATGTTTTTGAAATTTCCGTTTACCACTCTTCAGAAAAAGGAGTACCCTGTGCACGGCTTTGAGCGCACGCGGTTCAAGGGGTTTGTGGGGCTCATGCTGGCAGTGCAACGACAGCCAGTGGTGGTTCATATCGAGGCTTCTGCTCTAGCGTTTGCACAATATGACGGGGTGGGTGTTGCTTGCATTGATCCTACATGCTGTACATTCGATGTAAGAAGTTGTATTGACGTTTTGCCTGCATTGGCTTCATGCCTCAAGAACACCCATTCTTCTTCCCGTCGTGGTGTCCCTATGTCTGTTCAGACCTTCAAGTACCAGGATCCTGGATGCTATACCGGCAGACTGAACCATGTTGTACTCGTAGTTGGGTACTTCGTCTTGAGAAATGACGGCAGCCAAAATCGCATTGCGCCTCCATTTTGGATAGTCCGGAACTCGTGGGGAGTGGAGTGGGGTGACCGAGGCCACATGCGCATGGACATCCAGGGAGGGGATGGTGTGTGTGGCATCAACGTGCTGCCTGGCATCTACCCCATTGTGAAGAGTGAGGCAACTTCCTCCATCGTTCTCCACATCTCCATCCCCCCCTTTGAGCACTCACAGTGTCAACTATGTTTGACAGTGAGGCCGGGACAAGCGTCAAACCAATCTTAATGAGTCCAGAGGATCGCTCCATGTTTGGTTTGTGGAGTAGGGTGGATGGAGTGAAGGGATCGTCAACAGAGAGAAGAGAGTGTGAGGCAGTGTTGTCCACGTCTGTAGGTTGGTCAATTACCGACTATTATTGCCTTCCCAGAGTCGTTCTCAGCGTAACTTCTAGTGCACATGTTTCTACTCGTCCTGTTCTCGCATGTAACACCCTCCAGTCCCCAAGGACCCTTGCGGCCAGAGGAGCTTCAAGGGTGATGGCGCACTGCAACCCAGCATGAACCCGTGTGGGCGGTTCTCATGCCGGGCTAACCTACGCAGCAACAGCAACTCGTGCAACTGCACCATTCCGAATGAAGCCAGTCAGCCATTTGTTGAAGTTGCAAACGGATACGGCTACCAAACATGTGCTTACTGTAAGTTGTTAGAATGTCGATCCATGGCTGTTGTTAGAAGAATGGCCGTTGTGAAAACAACGGCCATTGTCAGAACAATTGGCGTATTCGCTGTTCTCCCCCTCCCTCCCTCCGCTCTTTCCTAAACCCTAAACGCACGTGTCTCGCTCTGGTTTCACCATTTTTCTTCACGCTTGTGTTGCTTGCCAGTGGACGTGTGTGGGGCTGACTTGAAGAACCCCTGCTACGTGGGCACATGCATCAATGACGGCAAGGGCTCCTACTCCTGCATCTGCCCTCCCAACTACGTTGAAAGCACAACCATTGACAACTTCCCCACCTGCGATCCAGGTGCTGCTGCCATGGCTTTGGTTATTCGTGTATCATCATTTGGGGTTCCCATGGCCCCTGTGAGCTGCTTCCACTCTCTGCCGCTGTTCACAAACAATTAGCAAACTCGCTTTTGTTAAATCCCTGCCGTTCCCTTGTTCCACGTTCTCACCTTTCCAGCCAACGTCACAGCCAACACCATGGCAGTGAGTGGGAGCAACTGGTGGTGCTCCGATGTCCTTCCTCTTGTGGGCCTCTCACTTGCCCAATTTGCGCAGCTGAATGCGGTAAGCAGTGGAGAGGGAGAGGCTGGGAGAGATGAGAGGCAGGGCGGAGCATGTGGTAGATCAGAGGAAACATGAATCATCGTTGCAGGGAATATTATCGAAGCTTTTGGCTGAATCGAATGGAAATAGTAACTCCGCAGGATCCTGACTTGGCTAGACTTTAGATCATCAAATGCTCAACGCAAGTCTGTGCGTGCTCCTCATTGCAGGCCATTGACTGCAGTCGTCCTTTGCCTCGTAACCTCGTGCTTCAGCTGGGAAGTTTTCTCCTCGTTCCCTGCACTGCATTCTTCTACACCCTCAGTGTGAGCTGTCGCCCTTGATGGTTTTCTTCTATCTATTGAATCCCATCAAATTATTCCTTTCGTTACTTTGTTTCGCCACTCCAATCAGTGCTTACCTCAACAAGACTGTCTTGCCAACCCAGCCTATTTCAGCATTGTGCACAGTACAGCCACTCTCCTTTCACCTCATCTATTGGAATTATCTCCTCTTGTTTAGCCTCCACCGCTTTCTTCAACACCCTCCTCATAATCGTTAGCCATTTTCGTCTCTCTCTTTCCTAATCCCCTCACTTCTTTTCTGCATCAACGCAGCAAGGCTGCCTTGTCAACTCCACCGTGCTCATAGTACTTTTTCGCTCCATTAACCTCAGCCATCTGTGCTTCTCCCGTGGTTCAACCCTCCAGGGCGACACATGCTGGTCCATCAGCGCCCAGCTGGGCATCACCAGCAGCAACCTCACGGCTCTCAATCCCGGCCTCGGCTGCTCAGAGCCCATCAAGGCGGGCCGCTCTCTGTGCGTCGAGCGTAATGCCACCTTCGCCTTCACCGTGCCTCGGTGCTTGCAATACGGTGTGCTCACAGCACAGGACACATGTGAGCGCCTGCTGCTGCAGGTGGCGGGGAGTGAAGACGACCCTGGGGGGGCTGGGAAGGTGAATGCCATGCGCTGGGCTGAGCTGTACCGCAACAATCCCGGCCTCATCTGCTCGAGTGTCATCCCGGTCTCCGCCTCTGCTATTGGCAGCAACACTGGCGTGCAGGTGAGGGGTGGAGGGAAACCGGGTTGGGGGCGCAAGAGACGGGAAGGAAATGGAGGGAAAATTGGTGGGTGAATCGAACCTTTGATTAATGGGTGAGGGGGCAAGGAATTATTTCTCATATACCAGAGTGTTAATTCCAACTATTTACCCTCGATTGTCTGTTGAGTGTGTGCCTATCTCTTTCTCTCAGTACATTTCCCTTTCCTTTGTTGTGTTTGTAAAACGTCACCGTTTCAGATTTGCCTAAGAGCAGAGTATTGGCCATTCATTGTTGGCATATGCAAGAAGGGCAGGCAAAAACCAGTGTCACCGTCATTGACATGCTCCGGTGCTTACAGTTTCTATGGTGGAGCCGCGAATGGAGCGATATCAAAATACTATGTTTACAATGAGAAGAAGTGTGTTGGGAGTGTAGGGTCCAAGTTCATTTGTGTGCCATGATTAGGTCCTCGGGGTTGGACTTCATTGTTTGTAAGATATACTGCATTCTTGTAAAACTGAAGCATAATAGATATTCCAAGAGGCCTTTATAGGAGTTCATCAATATATGGAAAGAACGGGTTCCAGGCCCTCAGATTCACTTTTAGGCACGTAAGTGCATCAGGGTCCCTCTGTGTAGAATCCCTGATCGACAGTGTCCCCTAAAAAAAGAAACCCTGAAAGTTCAGTGTTACTATGAAAAAAGGTCTGATGCATCAGGGTTCCCTCTAAAATTAGGCTGTTATTATCAATAGTCTCTAGTATAATTAGAAAAGACTAGGAAGCAGCCTTCTATCTATCTCTAATCTAAACCATAGCCAACCTACCTAGCTAGGCAAGGCAAGCATTACTCTGGGAGAGTTTAAAAATCATCATCAGATGAAGAATCCTTGTCGTCGTCATCACTTCCCTTAGCCTGTCGTTCTTCCAACTCCTCCTCCTCAACTGCCTCCTTTCCCTTGCCACCACTGCCGACCCCCCCCTCTCTTGCTGGAGGTGCTGCCACATTGCTAAATGGGCGGCGCTTCTTGTAGCTGCGCCAGATCTGCACCACCTCATCGTAGTTGGGCTCGTACTCGAGGAGAGACAACGTGATCAGGTCTTCAAGGCGGGCGTCCTTGAGGCTCCCCCGCTGCCACGATTTGATAACATTCTGGCGCGAAAAGCCGCGCTCACACTCCACAGTGCTCAGCGGCAGCACGGCGACAGCCACCCAGAGACGCACCAGGTTGGGGTAGCTCGTCGTCCAGTCGCTTGTCTTCAGCATTGCTGTTTGCCCGGCGTGGAAGGTGCGCTCGTTCTTCGGCGCGCCTGCGAGGATGGGGCAGAAGGTTCGCAGTTCTTTGATCGCCCGCCGCTTGTCGACCCCTGCCAGATAAGACAGAAGGGAGAGAGAGAGTGGATTAGATAGCCTGGCATACCCGTTCACAATACAGAAGCACCTCATGGACAGCACAAATGTATGCAACGGCATTACCTGGAATGATGTAGTCCGTCTCCTGTGCCCTGAATAGCGTCACGAGTGACATGAGCCACTTGAGACACTGCTTGTTGCGCTCCGCTCTCCCAAGCTCCCACTCGTCTGGCATGAAGAGCCTCACTCCCACCAGGGAGTCCAAGTCCTTGAATCGCTTGCTGAGGTTTCGCACGAGCGTCTCGGCGAACGTGGTGCAGAGATCGACGCAGGCGTCGTGAGTGCCGAGGGTTGGGTAATCTTCGCTTGGGTTCTCGTGCAGCTGGAAGGTGTGTGTACTCGGCCGACCGTCCGAGTCGACTCCCTGCACCTTCACCTCGGGATTGCCCCCTTTAGGCCCGTGCTTCTTGATGAACGGGGAGAGGCGCGCGCTCATCCCGCCTCCGAAGTCGTCACCACAGTCGACATAGCGGGACTCGAGGAAAGACATGGATCGGCGGATCTGCGCATGGACACTTGCAATGTCCAACTAGGATGGGCCGACAGGAAAAAAACAATGGGTGGAAGGAAGGCAAAATCAGTGCAATGCAGCATGTTGTTGAGCTGCATATTAAACCATTAACAAACACAAACAGAAGCTAAGCACACAATACAGGGTTTCCATGGAAGGTGCAGCAGACACTGTACAAAGACATGCTAGTAACCCTGCTCACCTCTCGCTGCTGGAATGCCCTGTTCAGCACATTGAGCTGCTCGAGCACGTCTGCAAGGAAGTACAACAGGAAGTGAAACCTGTAGCTGGTGGCGAGCTCGTACAGTGTAGTGTCCCACTCATACAGCATAACGATGAGCGTGGGGAAGACCTCTACCGCGCGCAGAATGGCGTCACCCCTGGAGAGCCAGCGGACGTCGTGAATCCCTTGGAGCTCCAGGTTCGTTCTCGTGAAAACTTCCTGCAGCCCAATGAACCTTTGATGCCAAGGGCCATAACGCCCCAGATGCTCAGCCACTTGGCGGAGCAGCGAGTCCACCATCGTGAACTCGGGGAGTTCTTCAGCTGTGTCTTTTGCTGCGAGCGCCTCCCTGCGTGCACAACAACAAACACCGGCACCACGAGGCATGAGCACGGGATGCTACAGGTACTCCAGAGAAGCGGAAACACATCCGACAACATACCTGTGGGCGATGCAGTGGCTCAAGACAAGACCGTTGTGTTTCACCATCATCACACTCGCTCCGTCAGTGCTTCTGCCGGAGATCCTCGCAAGTTCAATGCCGCGGGCCTGCAGGTGGGACAAGAGCACTGAGAGGAGAGAGGCGGCATCGCCCTTCTCCACAGTCAGCAGCGCAAGAAACTCAGTGACGACACGGTTCTCACGGATGAACGTTGCGAATAGAATCATGTGCTTTCCCCGACACCTGTCCGTGCTCTCGTCGCATGTGACGCCGAGGTATGGGCTTGAAAGGATGTGCTGTAGTTGCGTTGTGTGCAACTACGTGGCCATCGACTGTGTTAACTGCCCGAAGCCGTATCTGCAGCGCATGTCAAACAAGACAATGTCAGAGAAGAAGTTGAGAAACACAAACACGACTTAAGTGCTTGGAAAGGGAAACTCACGTCGTGTAATAGGTTCCAGAGCCTTTCGCGGGGAACCCATGCACCTTAAGAGCCGCGAGGTAGTGAACAAGATTCACCCATAACTCTATGGGTGCATCTTGCTTGGTGACAAAGAGGAGGGTGTCCGGCAGCTTGATGACACGCTCCTTCTCGGTGTCGCGAGCAAGATTGTCGCCGTTGATCCGTGGCTGCCTGGCTGCTTCCGAGAGGAGCTTTTCCTGGTGTTTCAACGCCTCCTTGTGCTTGGTTGTTGCCGCATGCTGTTTGAATGCCTGCGTCTGAACGTCTGTGGCGCCCTTTCCGCCTCTCCCGCACGGTCCAGCGTAGCCTGCGTGCTCCGTACAAATGCTGCACTTGAAATCAGGGAGACCGTCAGCAGTTTTTTGCAAAATGAGCCAAGAAAACCGCTCTAGCCACTCGCTTTTGTACTTATACAGAGCCTCCACGTAAATCGCGACTGGACCTGCCGGTTTAGAAGGCCTAGGAATTGATGGCGACACCTGCGTGCCTGCGGTCGCGGGCGTCGACCGTTGGTTGGCTGGTGAAGGCAGAGTATCTCCAGCGTTACCTCCCTTCTTGCACCATGGCAGCGTTGACTGCGTGTACCTGGCGTTCTTCTTAGCCACTGGTACCGCCGCAGTTTCGTCAACAGAAGGTGAGGAGCTGTCTTGCTCCAACACTGGCGCTGTAGGGGAGGGACACAACCCCTCATCTATGGGTTCGAATGGAATAACGTCGGGCGGCGCGACAGCAGGTGCCTTTTCATGGTTGTCTACTTGCGTGAAGCTGGAGAAAAGCATATCCAGGCCGGTAACAGCAGCGGAAACATCAACTGGCGAACGACGATGCGCATCATCGCCTTGGTCGCCAGTATTTTCCATGGCGTCCTGGTGGTCCGCCATACCTTGCAGCGGTACTAAGCAGCATTTAACGGAAGGTACATACTAGCCTAACTAGAAAGAGGAAAGAGGTTTGCCAGGGAAACCACACGGCTGACTGCCTCTTGGTACACCAGGCAGCAACGCGATGAAACCCCAAGCGGATGGAAGGAAATTATGGAGCAGAATGGGATGGGAGCCTGGATGGCATGTAGCACGGCTGGGCGGCGTAGGTGCATCAGTGCTTGCCAGCACGACCTAGACAAAACGGGCCAGAGGACCACAGGTGCAAGCAATGGGCCAGAAACCCACGCATCGCAGCCTGCCAGCATCGCTGTGTTGCAACCTTGTCATTGGTCAACTCAGATATTGCTGCAAAAGTGGCCAATGATCAGACCAGGCGCGCCAACAAAGCAACCCTCAAAGTGGGCAAATTTGTCTGGTAGTCATCGCCAGGCCGTGCTGACACCTCGGGAATCTGAGATTCCCTGTACTTCCGGGCAACTACACTCGGAACGTGTAGGAATCGCTTTCAGTGTCAGCTTCGTTACAACGTAGTGGAATCAGTGTCCCTTAAAAAAAAATCCTGAAAATTCAGAGTCATCTGGCAGGAAAAGGCTGAAAAATCAGTCCCACAAAAAGCTGAACACTGGAAATTCAGTGTAGGTACAAAAAAATCCCTAGAAATCAGGAATTTCATGGAAAATTTCATGATATTGCAGGGCCTGATGGGTTCACCATTGCGACCGCAAGTGTGGATCCCATAACATCTGCAATTAGAATAACGTTGCTACAATCGAGCCACTTGAGATTTTGAGTTGCGTGCACCATTTCTGTTGAAGTAGCCTCTTAGTCGATTAGATATGATAAGGAACCACTGAGTTAAGATAGAGGAGAAGTCTTACACGGGCCTTGTCATGGTGAATATAAAATAACAAAATAATAAAACACGACATTATATGGGGTTGTACAGTTCTTGTTAGTCAGTACTCTGAGGGATACACTCCCTTGTTTAACTGTATTACATGTATTTTGCAGTACCAGTGACTATTACTGATGCCAGACATTTACCTTGTGCAGCGCGTAACTTCCGATCTTGGTCAGTCAACAATCCGTATAGTTGACTCTTGATTGTTAACTTTTTAACTCCCTACTATCACGTGCTCTACTTAGGAGTAACGCGATAGTGGGGGGTGCCATCATCTATAAAGGGTAACGCGATAAGATTATGGTTATCCCAAGTTGGGATTCCTAACACTCCCTTTCATTCATGAAGGTATGGCACACTTGTCTTCTTGACGACTCTGCACAGGTAAGCACAATAGTAAAACTTCTGACGCACCAGTTCCTTCGCCAGAAAGTCGGTTGACCTTCCACAAGTTGAACACTAGGTGAGGCCCACTTTTCCCTTGTCAATTTCGTCCTTCAAAAGGAACAAAGCGTAATGTGCTTCGTGCGGTTCACAGATCCAGGCTGGTTGGCGACCTTAATCACTCTCTAATATCGTAGAGCAACTTTAAGAATCTGTTTATTGTAGTATTTCCCTCCTGAAAACTTCTTGTAGATTCGCGAGTGGCTTGGCTTGCGACAATGCAGTTACGTTCGCCGTGTAGGCTAGGCCAACGTCGGGCCTAGAGATGCATTACTGTGGAGTACGCCGTGACTACGGCAAATAGCTGGACACATGAGTGAAGTAGCGCTGCGAGCAAATATCAGTCCAGAGGAGGGGTCGGTCAAGCAGACTGCGACAGGAACTGGAAGTGGAGAGAGGGTGGTAAGGACGCGGACGAAGCACTGGGACGCGCCAGCGTCTAGCATGAAGGAGAGGGACACGTTTGCAATGGACGCACTTGGGCAAGAAGCAGCAGAGGATCTACAATAGAGACATCAACATAACCTAGTCTAGGCATACACGAAAAATTGGATCCAGCAGCACAATAGTCATGAGCATACACTGCAAACACAGGCAAACCACGGTGTAGCAATGATGACCAATACGAGAACGACGCCGTAGGCCCAAAGCGGGCGTGGAAGGGGTCGTCGAGATGGCGGAAGCAGCGCACAGTGGGGTGATCCGTGGACCCGCAGACGGTTCCGCATAGTGGACTAGACAGAATCTGGTACTGGCAGGGCCCGCGGGGAGGCCACGCAAGCTGTCAGACCCACCACCACGGCCATCGCTCCCCCGGCCAGCACGCCCCCATTGATGCTGGGAGCCCCACTGCTGGAGCTGCTGCTACTGTGGAGTCACTGTCGCACCCCCAGTACAAGCACCTACTGCGGCAGCACCCCAAGAACCAGTACTCCCAGTGTCAGCACCCTCCGAAACTTTAGCACCTCCACCTCCTCCACGAGCACGACCACACATGCGCCATCCCGCCCACTAGTAGGGGCAGTAACGGCTGCGACCACCGCTGTAGCAGTAGGCTCAGCAACAGGAGCAGAGGCAGCTGGGGTAGGGAGCTAGGGCTGAGTGCACCCCTCAAAGATGGGGGGGAGTACTGCACCAGTGGTGGAGACGATGGTGCGGAAGTGGGTCTCGATCTTAGTGAGACTAGTCTCAAAGAGATCGATAGTGGGGCACATGTGGTGCATGGCGAGGAGGGCGTCGCGAAGAGGGCATCGCGGGTAGGTGCAAGGCGGTTAGGGAGGCAGGTCGCAAGGATGTGCATGGCGAGATACATAGGGGGGACGTGCTGAGCAAGGTCGACAATAGTGCAAGCACTGCGGAAGCTAGTGTTAAGCAAGCGCACGTGGATAATGAGGTCAGAGACTGTGGGGAACGCAAGGAGATCAGGGAAGAGGAAGGGCATGACGAGGCACCCTATAGTAGCAGAGGAACGGGTGGAGTAGCAAGCAACAATAATATCCAAACACACCTTCGCCGTCGCGACCTGACGAAAGTGCACTCGCTCAGCCGACGACAGGATGCGACAAAGAACAAGGCGCGCAGACGCGTCATGCGACACCCAAACCAAGTGCACAATCTGGGCCATGTGGCGAGCCTCACAATCAGCCACCGTGTGTTAAGCAGCAAGTGCAGTAGGACTCTTGGGGGCAAGCAATTCACCCGACACTTGGGCGTACAGATAGACTATGTCCTAGAAATGGCTCTGAAGTTGAAGCTGGACGTCGAGCAGCGTGCGTCAAAGTCGATCGCCTGCCCCTCTCCATTGACCCGCAATACTAAATCAGACACCATAACATGAGTGAGCAGGAACACTGTTGCAGCGGATGAGAGGGGACAGCCATAGGAGGAGGAGAATATTGACAGAGATAAACCATAAAGCGTGGCCGCAAGCGCGGCGGCGGGCAGCAGCAGTAGGCTCGGCTGGCGCACGGCGGCCACGGTAGGGTGCGTAGCAGGCGTGCAGCACGGTGCGTAGGGCGTGAGGCAGGGCATGTCAGGCGCGCAGCGGGTGCGCGGCCGGCGCATGGTAGACCGCAACAGGGCACGTGGTAGGCGCGCAGCACGGCACGGCAGGGCGTGCGGCAGGCTCGCGGTAGGGCATAGCAAGGCGCACGGTAGGCGCACGGCAGAGCATACGGCAGGGGGCAACATGCGCGTGGTAGGCCGTGGCAGATGCGCAGCAGCAACAGCGGCGCGCATCGGCAGCGACAGTGG